GCGATTAAAAAGATTTTCCACCAGAGTTTGAAAATTACAAAAATGAGTAAATACCTCAGACTTGCGCCGCATAGGATAAATCCATGTATAGCGAGAAAAATCATCAATGAAACATACATAGTACTTAAAACCCAAATTAGATAAAACAGGCGATTGCCAAACATCTGAATGAATGAGTTCTAATGGCGCAATACATTTATGAATAGCATCATGAAACGGTAGTCTGTGGGATTTACCCAACTTACAAGAAACACAATTATGAGAAAAAGTACTAGAAACCGAAATGAGTTTATTTTGCCGAAGTCTATGTAAAACTCGATCACCACAATGTCCTAAACGTTTATGCCAGGTAGGTCCAGGAACTAAAGTCGCTTGAAGAGCATGAAAAGGGTAGAGATGGTCCTTATTGGAGCCCTGAAGAAGATGCACCCCCGTCTGATTGTCCTTAATAGAAAAAGAATTTTTATTAAAAGTCACCGTACAATCATTATCCGCACACAACTTATGAATGGACAATAAATTATATTTCAGGTGTGGGACATGGTAAACGGAGTTTAAAGAAAGCGGGCAACCAGGCGTAGAAATTTTAAAGCTACCAACATTAGCTATGGGTAAACCTGGCTCTGATACCATATGAAATAATAAGATGGAATAATGGCTCACCCTCATAGGGTGTCCTGGTGGTCTATTTATAATAATCAGATAAACAGGAAAATTACAAATATGTCCCAATACTTATAGATTATTAAGAACAACAATGATTCAGGAGGAGGGCGAATAATTGAGGTCATGGAGTCGCCGATGTTTGAAGTTATCCTCCCAAATAAATCAAGCAGTATAAGCATTGTCATCCACCAACAATAAAACTTCAACGCCCAATCGGTTTTATCGACGAGTAATACACAAATCCTAGACATTGCTAGCTAGAAAGAAACCACATAAGAATAACTTGAAAATATTTATGAAAGTGATAAATTTTCATCTTTAGAAGGAGAAAAGTGATTGAGAAGAAGAGAAGAGGGGAGAGACGGCTAGGATTTACCTTCGCCGCTCCCCAAGTTGCCCTATCGCCCCGAGTAAGTTAGTCTTAGAAATAATGTCAGGGTTAAATTTTATGAACTTAACGGAAGAGAATATGTAGTATCATGTGTCTAAAAAGGAAATATAACATGTACTTTGGATAGCACTAAAATAATGAGCAAGTGTCCAAATAGGACTTACATGTTTCATAGTACTAAAAATGCATTTACTTGAAAAATTACCGTTAATGAAATTCTAAATATATTTATAGTTAAGACGAACGAGCTTACGGCCCCTTAATCGATACTAATCTCTCAGCTAACAATTAAGTGTGTGTGAATGTGTCCTAGAATAAACTAGATCTCTCTTAATTTATTCATAAGCAATTGTAATTTTAGCCGCGGTTTCAGGTTACAAAAGATATCAATTAAATTATTCAAACACAAATTAAACGGCATTCATGCAATTAATCCATCAAGAATCTAGCCGTACATCATGATCAACCCCTTCATCAATCCCAAATCCCTAATTAAACTACTCACAATTCATAATTGAGGAATCAACAGAATTGGGAAGAATAATATTAATTGTCATTAATTAAAAAGATGAACTTACAAATAATCCCGGGGTCTTGGAGTAAACAATGATAAAAACGAAATTAAATTCGTACCTAGGTCTCTCTGTAATGTTCGTAACACTTAAACAGGAGAAGGGAGGCCTTATTTATAAAAAAACAGCTGAGTTTGGGCTGAACTGGGACAAAAACGGGGTAATCCGGGCGAAAATAGGATTTTCCGGAGGCAGACACGGTGCCATGCACGACCGTGCCTTCGAACGTGCCTCCGGAGCAAAATCGCGCGTTTTGGGCAGGCACGGTCGTGCCTGCCTGGCAGTAGCTCCGCGGTGCTTTCTCTTCACGCACGATCGTGCCTAACTTTGAACGCACGATCGTGCCTACTTAACTTCCGAATTTGACGATGCTTCCTTCATAAAATTTGTAGATAATGAAGTCATATATCCACCACATCTTGCCGAATTAGATTTGAATCATCCAATCAAGAGATATGATCAAAACGGTGGAAGGTCGCATTCTGAAATCGCAACAAGGGTCATCTGACTTCATCGTCTGTTGTCACTTTTCTCCTCTCAGATTCTCGGAATGATGTCTTCATAAGATTTGAATCCCTTGAAGTTGGCTTTCATATGCAACTTGAATCGTGTCCTTTGGATGCTTCTACAAAGAGATATGCTTGAACGATTGACAGAAGGTCATCCTGATCGCCGTTTTCAATCTCTTTTCGTCTTGTTTTGATCCTGTAGTCAATCCTAGAGCTCTTTTGTCATCAAATCTTCATCGTGGACCTCCCGGTGACCTCCATAGCTCTCAAATCAATCTAAAATGCTTCTCAAATCATCCTGATTGTTCCTCAAGCGCCGGTGCCGGGCACAAATTCCCTGATTTTGACTCCAAATGACACAAAACTCGAACCAACGCTTGGTAAACATAACTTGAGCTAAAATTGAGACTTGCAACACCTTAAAGCTAGGAAAACCATCAAAAGCCGATCCCAACACGCATCAAATGCGTGTCTAAATACGGACTTATCACCTGTATAAAAAGAAATGTTTTTATGTCATAGTGTAATATATCGCCAGTATACTCACAGCTTGTAATTGCCATTAATTTTTCAAAATATGCAGGCAATAGGAAACCGGAAATACCATTATTTTAAACGAAATTAGAACTTTAACAAAGATTGAACCGAAATGAACATTTCACTTATAGTTTTTTCATTAGCCTTGGCCGTTTATCCGAAAAAAAAAACAAGAATTCTTTCTGCGTTATAGTGGGACGGAGGGAGTATTTAACTAATTCATCATTTTTCATTGTAATTAATATCAAATCTTTGCCTCCACCCCCACACCTGCCCAGTCACACCCGGATTCGTCACGGAAAACAGTTGTCGGAAAAGTTGCCGGAAACCGCTGCCGGGAAAGTTGCCGGAAATTTTTTATGATTTTTTTCCCTGCATGTTTTTCATTTTTTTCATAATTAATTGCCAAAAAAAAGTCACTGGAAAAATATCTACTGGTCACAGTGTCATGTTTCACGTCAATAGTGACATCCATTAGTGACATGAAGATCTGGAAGTGACATCTATTAGTTAAATCAAAATCTGGCATTGACATGAAAATTTTATAGTGACATCATATTTATAGAAAAGTATGACCTTATGATCGCATTTTTGTACATCTATAAGAGTGGTCACTTTTTTAGATATTGACTTGAATTTTGTCATATTTAAGGAAAAACTCCTTTAAATATTGCACAAAACTATCAAAAAAATTAGAAAACAGGAAGTTAATATTCAATTTGGAGATAACCAGAATTTTAACTGAAACCGGAAATTCAATGGAATCACAAAAAGGAACTACGAAAACAGTGTCCAAAAATGAAAAAACTTGATGCAACAACTCAAAAATTTAATGAAATCAGAATATTCCTTTTGATAAATAACAAAATCAATGAAAACATCTTATTTTTTAGACGTAAAGCAGAGGAGAAAGAGCGGGAGGAGAAGAAGATGAAGAGGATAATACTTTGAAATCTGGAATCGACGGCGATGGTGGAAAAAGAGGCGGTAAATAGAGACGGGCCGGTGATGGCGATGGAAAACCGGCGGCGGCGCTCAAATGTAGAGGCACCGACATGGTGTTGAAGCATAGAGAAGAGTAGCGAATAGGGGGAGCCGCGCAAGATTGATGAAGCTTAGCTAGGGTTTTCATTTTATTATATACTAGCTTCGTCTCATTTTATGTATCTTAGTTTGACATGACATGATTATTAATGAAGTGGTTGAAATAGTAAAATTTGTGGTTGAGGTTTGAGTATAATAAAGTAAAATGATGTAGGTCACATATTTCTTTCCAAAAAAAGGAAATGAGATATTTATTTTGGGACAATCCAAAATGGAAAGTAGGACAGATAAAATAGGACGGATGAAGTATATAAGAGGATATAATGATAATCTGGAATCTTATTTAGATAATTATAATTTTAAAGTCCTATTTTCAAAAACAAAAACTATTTAAAGTCCTATAGATGCATTTAAGTTGAGTTTTCGTCCAAAAAAGATTTGTGACCTATCTTGAATTTAGGTTCAGTTTTTTTTTTTTTTGCAATTTATTCCGTATATGTTGGGATGAAGAGAGCATTATTTAGGGAATTCACTTGCATGATTGGATTTTTTTTGCAGAATGATTGGATTATTTTATACTCCCGTTAAGATGTGATTATCCCATTTTACATTTTTAGAAAATCCTACTAGAATGATCTCATACCAAATTTGTTAAAGTTCGATTGGCTCTAAATTATTCTTATTTATTCTTACTTTAGTAATCGAATATCAACCACATAAACACATTTTTTTCAATAAGTGTGACATTTTCTTTTATTCAAATGTTAGTGGACGGAAGTAGTAGACCATGTCTAAAAAACTTTTTCACTTTCCATTTTAATCAATCAATTTTTGGCTCCTATCCTATTATTTCTCTATCCTCTGCACAAATATCTATCACATACTCCCTCCGTCCCCCTAAGTTTGTCCCGTTTTACCTTTTTCGTCCGTCCCACTAAGTTTGTCACATACCATATTTGGTAACATTTGAGTGGTTAGAATTCATTCTTACTTTATTTACACTTTATCAATTCAATACCAACCACACAATTCCACTTTTTCTTAAAAACCACACCACACCTCTCCGTCCCAAACTTAGGGGGACGGAGGGAGTAGTTTTTATCCTATGTGTCGGCCAAACTTTGCAAACCTTTAAGGATGGAGGGAGTAAATAACTACTCCCTATTAGTCTATTATTACTCCGTACTAATTGGGTCGAGCGTTTTTCCCACTGTTTACTCCGTATTTTATTCTCTCTGTCTTTGCTAAGATGATGTGACTTTTGAATAGGTGAGCAGTCACCCAGCTTACACGTCCATTAGACATTTCCCACATTCCATTGTTTATTTTCCAGTCCACCGACGGGCTGACCCGATTTCATCCAAATACTCCGTACGTACTTAAAATGCAAACAAAAAACTCATCTTCTTCACCTGCAGCCGAAGCTCTGTATGTAGTTTATACATATACGTATTCCCTAGAAATATTTATATACATTTATACAATAATATATTCATACATTGAATTATTCTTCATCCGCGAGCTAGCTCATTTTCCTTGAAGTCTAACGTTAATTTTGCCTGCCCTGGATTGACTGATCACGATATTCCTTTTCTGCATTATCAGCTGGTAAGAATATTTTTATTTGTTTATTTTCATGATTTACATGTCAATAATATTTTATTTTATTTTTGCTTATTTGTTTGTTTGTTTACATTTTGTAGATCGGTATATATATTTCGCTATTCACATTTCAATTCATTTGATTAATGAATCAATCAATTAATTATGGGATCTGTTGTATTTACAGATGATATGGAAGCTTTTCTAATTCCTAGCTCCATCAAGGTACGCATATAACGTGGTTCAAATTAATTAATTGTCTAATGCATTCAACTTGATAATAATTACGGAGTAATAGCTACGGTCAGTTTTTTAGTTCATAAAACTAGTCCTTATAATTGAAATGTGGTTACTTTGGTCAATATGGAACCTTTAAATTGTCTTTCTACTTCTAAATTAAACTACTCCATATACAATATGCAATAAGCCGTACAAATAGATAAGAAGATACATATAGTAGTTTGGAGTGAGTTTCGAATTCAACCATGAAATGACGATATAGTACGTATAATAATGGATCAATGGGAAAAGGGAGTAATAACTAATAAGTAATTCATGCTGCACTTTCCACAACTACATAAGAGAGTTTTTAATACTGAAATATTACCTACAAAACAATACTCCTTCCATCCCAAATTATTTTGAAAAGTCAACATTTTTTAGTAAATCAATAATAAAAATAAATCTTTCATATTGATAATTAATTTAATTTTTAATAATTAAATTTTACATATTCATAAACTACATTAAAATCTCTTCAAAGTTATAAACTCTAAATTAGAATATAATTAAAAATTGACATCCTAATTAAGCGAATAAAATGAAATTATTTGATCAAAAAAGTCAAATTTGCAAATCAATTGGGGACGGAAGTAGTATATACGGAGTAACAAAGTGAGAACTTCTTTTGATAAAGATTAAGGCGCCGTTTACTTGCCTCTTAATGGTGGATTTAATAAGAATTACAACTTAATCGTTCAACAGCACAATTAAGTCATAGAAGTGGTACTAACTATAAAGACTTAGCAGTGCTAAATCTTTATTTATGACTTTAGTGAAAGCAAAACTTAGTATAAAAGCAATCTTTCCCTATGTTGCACGGAAACGCAAAAATCATGAGGAAACGGGAAACGTCAACTTTTGCTCAAAAAATGCTTATTTGGAGAGTTTCCAAAGAGTTTCCGAGAGTTTCCGAAACGGGAAACACACTATTTCCCGAGAGTTTCCGTGCTACATAGATCTTTCCCATCAATACGCCTATTAAAACGTCTATTCTTCAAATTTGTTTAAAGTGATTATAAATAGATTCATATTAATAAATGAAATTTTTCATTGATTATATAACCTTATAATGATATTAAATTGATTATTTTACTTATCTCTGACTATTTAGTCAACACATAAATAGTATGATATACAAACATCACTTTATACTATCCTCCGTTCTCTTTTAATCGCAACATTGGACTTTTTGCACTATTCACACATTCTACTTTGACTATATTTTATTCATTAATGTATTATAAATTAATTTTTTAAAAAATATTATTAAATTCTTCTCATTCTAAATTTTCAAAATATGATTTTTTTAATTTTTTTACTAATAACGAATGAAAGATATTAATGGTCAAACTTGTGCGTTGGCAAACGTGAAATGTTGACTGTTGCAATTAAAAAGGAACGGAGGAAGTATTAAAATAAACAACCCGAAGTTTGTCACATATATACTCACAGATATAACTTAATGCAATAAATTTGTACAGGTTCATCTCTTAATGTGCACAACATTAATCAACATTGTGAGTAAAGCTTCAAGGATACTTGGAGCAATAGAATCAACTCGGCCCCGATGCAGATCAGGGATGGAGTCACTTTGCTCATTGAACAAAGCCATCGAAGAGTTGAAGTCAATAATCAAGCAATGCACTCAATCTAGTAAGCTCTACCTTGTATGTAACCCTCTGTATCTACCACCTATGTTGCACTGAAGCAGGGGCGGAGCCAGGATACTGGGCAGGACATGGTCAGTACAAAGAATATTTTTAGAAAAACATTTACACAAAATATTTTACCTTAAAAATTAAGCCATTTTTTAAATTTGGGGTGAGTCATGGCCTAGGTTGGCCCATCCCTAGCTCCGCCCATGCACCGAAGTGTGGGGAACTCACGGGCCTGGAAAATGAGAAACGTCATTTTTTATTACAAAAACAAATATTTGTAGAGTTTTTGAAATGGAAATGTTCTTTTTCTAGAAAATTTTGGCGCTTAACACGCAACCAACTCATATATAGGTATACTCCATATTGTTTTTGTGAACTAAAAAAATTTAACTGGCAAATACGCCGGCTGTCCTGCAGGCTCTAAGAGGAGACATTATACACTCAAGATGCATACGCTCAAGGAGATTAATGGAGGCCAGCCTCGATGACATACAAAATATGGTTCCTTTATCGCTCGCTTCGCAGGTTTGTATCTGATTTGTAACAAAAAAATACTTCAGTTTAACCACATCACTTTCACACAATGGGGCATCAGTTTCAAACAAACTAAACCAATAATATAATCATGATTTTAAATTGCGGTTGCGGTCGCGGTTGCGGTCACTGCGGTGGCGGCCAATGCGGCCGTTGCGACCACTGAGGCGTGAAATATTTTCATTTCGCACATAACAACATTAAAATGATTTTTTTTTGCTTTCTTTAACAAATCTTATATTAACATATAGTATGTACTACCTCCGTCCCATAACGAAGTTATCATTCACTATTTATTTAGTCAATTCAAAATCACTTTTGAATTTTTATTGTAGTTTCTGAATATGTAAATATTCTTTCCTAAAAATAATATGTGTTGACATGAATCAATTTGCTTTATTGTCATCGTAAACAACGATGGAATCTTCTTTATGAGGCGGAGGGAGTATTTAACATACATTAATTATGTATGAATAATTCTGCAAACACTAATATGTAAACAACAAAGTAAACAATAAGAATATGAAGATTTAAAATAATTGATTATTAGTTTTTTTTAAATCGAATAATGATTACTGTTTAAATAATAAAAATAGTTTAATTTTTTAAAGCTAGTATACATATACCAGTATATGCGAAGTACTTCGTATAGAAAAAAAATAGGTCCACCCTAAAAAATAAAAAATTTAAAGTTTATAGCATCTACTTCATCCTCAAATATATCCTCAATTACAATATCTCAGGCCCAACTAAAACAATTTAATGGCTCAATAACCCAAAATGCCCTAAAGTCCTGATGCAAGGTTCGTATACAGTACTACGTGGATAGCAAAAATTCTTGCATCTACCATACAGATCTACTTATAACGACGCATCTTCCATTTCTTCTTCAGGGAGCTTCACTACCAAGCCTAATTAGTCTAATTATCTAAGATATCTAAGCCCAGAGAATAACCACGCCACTGATGCGGGCAGATGCGGGCAGATGCGGTTGATTGCGGCAGGATGCGGTTGATTGCGGCGGGATGCGGCCGGTTGTGGTGCCTGTTGCGGTTCCGTCGCCGTTTGGTAGCGGTTTTCTTGGTGATTCCATTTCACAGCGCTATAGCGGGGTGATGCGGTTGCGCCGCCCGCCATTACCGCATTATTGCGTCCTCTATTTGTGATGCGGACCGCAATTTGAAACACAGAATATAATTAACATAAATTTAGGGAAAGTTCCCGAAATGGGACTAAAAAAGTTTGAAAATTCCAAAATAGGACTGTCATGTTTTTATTTCCAAAATAGGACTAATTATTGCCAAATTTGGAAAATACTGCCATGTTTGAAGTCTGGTACTGCCAAAACATGACAGTAATTAGTCTTATTTTGGGAATAAAAACATGGAAGTCCTATTTTGGAATTTCCAAACTTTTTTAGTCCCATTTTAAGTAATACTCCCTCCGTCCCAAAATGGTTGGCCAAATTTCCTTTTTTGGCCGTCCCAAAAAGGTTGGCCATTTCCATTTAAAGTAATAAATATGTGGCTAAAGTTAATTCTCTCTCCTCTGCACAAATTTCAACCACACATTTTTTACTTTATTAATCCACGTGCAAGTCAACATTGGCCAACCATTTTGGGACGGAGGGAGTATCTCATAAATTTATTCTCCGTTAAATGTTAAATCAGAACTGGAGTGACCGGTTCCTTAACCCAAACCAGAACGACATAGTGCATATATTCTATTTGCAACCAGCTATTTACTACCAAGGTTCGATTTTCCCATATTTTGGGCAATAGTAGTTGATATCGGACTATTCCGGTTCGCCCGGTTCCGGTTCGGAACGGAGTTTTTTTTATCAATACTTTTATAAGTAATAAAAACTTCAACAATATAATAGTCAAACTAGTAATACTAACAAGAACAAGGGGGGCAGCAGGCCAAGGGCAATGACCCTAAGCCCAAAATATTGTAAAAATATTTAGGTAGCCATACATGTCTCTTATTCTCCCATTCTCGAGAGTGCTAGTTAGGCCCAAAAGAAATTAGAAATTAAATTACCTTATCTTCTCAGGTTGAATATTTTTTTTTTTGGTTGATTAATTTTATTAGTTATTGCTTTATTTCATTTTAAAAGCAACATTAGTTAACTAAATGGAAGAACTATACCGATTATTCATAAAACCTTAAGTTGAAAAATGGGATCTTTTAGATACGGAGTATTAAATGTACCAAGTATAAAAAGTTTTTAAAAACTTATCACATTTTTATAGGTTATATTTAAAAAAAATCAGACCATGCTAGACTGGTTCATCTCGAAACCAGTGATCCTGTCACGCCCCGGACCTACCGGACACGTCAACAACCCGCCGTACAGTACGAATAGTCAACCGCAGTCCAACTCATCCATACTATACTAGGCGTCTTGAATATCATTCACAATAGTACATCCATAAACAACATAATGTAAAATAATCATTTAAATCAGCGGAAACGTTTAATACAAGTGTTTATGCCACACTTCGACAAACATGGGCATACAAGCCCCAAATAATTATTCAAAACAATATCCATGAGCATTAATTTAATGTTTTAAAAATAGAACGGAGGAAGCACGAACCACGTCTTCTCTCCCTGAGCTCCCCGAAGCAACGGGCGATGGTAGCAAGCTTTACTCTCTACCTGAAACTGTGAGGTGGCCTCCCCCGTGAAGGGGAGGTCAGTACTTGGAAGCATTTGACAAGTACAATGACAACTATACTAAATATAACCAATGTTTCAACTTCTAAGACCCTCAAAATAGAGTGATATCATAATATAATGATAGTTCTTCTTTAACCCTTATTATCTTCGTAATAAGTTAATTAATTAATTTGTCGGCACACGGCCCCTTCTTATATTTCATTTCAATCATCGTTTACACGACACTGCCCGTAGGTCTTATCATCCTTACGAGACTTGTCACCGCTCTCCGAGGCCTCACCGGGCTCTCGGGCCGGAGTCCAACATCTCGCCCCTGAACTCATACCCATCGTCCCGTAGGAAGGTAAGGTCCATTCGGGGTCCTATCTTATGTGTTACCGCTGTCGGGAGCCTCGTAAGGTCTCCGGTTCGGATTCCACCCTAACCCGTGATCACGATGTAAGTCCATGCTATCCAACCTCGCTCTCTAGAGTCGGGAAGGGCCATGGTCCTTACTAATTACCAATACTCTATCGGCTAATCCTTAAAGACTACCGAATACACCCGTAGGCCAATCCTATTTCTAGGATCAATTTATTATTCACTTTATCTTGGGTATCCCTTAAGGCCTACCCCCAGCATCACTTATCCACCTTAGTATCTCTTAAGACTACTTAAGGCTCAACAATTTACAATCCAAACTGTGGATCAATTCTAACATATTTCATTCCAAAACCCCGAATAGTATCATAATACTAGTCGGATAAATTCCAGCAAAACTCATTTTCAATTCATAGTCATATAGACAATTTCCAAACTAATTTCCCATTGAAAATATAGTTCATATCAATATACAAAATATAACCTTTAATCACTCATGTATCCTTATATGAAGTTAAAGTTATATTTCAACACAATATTTATAATTAATCCCTTCATCAAGCCAATATGCTCATATTACATAATCATACATAATTTATCCTTAAATTTGTATATTATGCTCCTTTATTCATTGACAACAATATTTTCATTTAGGCATTATTAATCATTAATAATCCATGAAAATCACATTTAATTACTTTAGGTAATCCTACGAAATTAATCCAAAGATTATAAGCAACATAGTCAGCCATCCTCACCTTATGATGTGCTGAAATAGTTGCCTTTGTCAAGCCCTCCGATTAATCCCCGTTCTAAACCAATTGGAGATGAAAAATCTGGGCAGCAGATGAAAGCCGGGCGGCTTTCGTGAAAGGTGGGCGGCTTTCGTGGTCTGCAGCTACGAACAGCTCCCTTAAAGTGGCGGTTTCCGACGATTTCGACTCCTATCGATTCACCAACTCTTCTAAGTTAATTATCACCACTTTATAACAATATAATACACTTTTAAACGTGTAGAACTCATGGTTTAATCCACCATATGATTTCTTAAAAATCATACACCATAAAACTAGTTAAGAGATTGTTTGTTGAGTTCTTACCTCAACACAACCCTTTTCTTCTTGGATTTCCTTTGTTGATGCTTCCTTCAAGCTATGGATGGTGTGAAGACTTTTCCCTTGAGCTCTCCTCTCCCTTAGCTTGTTCGAATGGTTGCAAGAGAGTGGGTGAGTTTCCTCTTCAATCACTCACCCAATGAGTGAGCAAATGGGGACATAGGGGTGTGGGTGTTTGTCTTGCACATCACCTCTCACATAAGTCCGCCCCAAACCATGCTAACTTGTCTCCTCCCAATTATTTTGGGAGTTATTTGACTGATAGAGTATCTCAAGTGGGTGTAGAAAGTCCCTCCCAATTATCCCTTGTATTTTTAGCAGGTTGGGTCAAAATAGCACTCGGGTTGTCCAAACATTTTTATCAACTCGGTTGGCACTTTATTGGGCTCCTATCATTATCATGATGACCCAACTAAATATTTGGTAGCCCATTCGCATATACTGGACCCGATAAATAATTTAATTAATCGTGTATTAATTAAATGTACCCATTCTGTCACACGAATTTATTCGCTTGGAAAATTCAATTACATGTCGAATTTCAAATTCAAGTACATACGGGCGCGGTGTCACAAGTTCACCCCCCCCCCCCCTTAACGGGAATTTCGTCCCCGAAATTCACAAATGTTCATTCAAAAAGAAATGCGTATTGTTCCTTCATTAAAGCTTCCGTTTCCCAAGTTTCTTCTTCAACTCGGTCACTTTTCCAAAGGATTTTCACCATTGGAACTTTCTTGCTTCTTAGTTTCTTTACTTGCCTATCAAGTATCCTCACCGGCCGTACGGCATAGTTTAAGTCTTCGCGTATTTCCACGGGTGGTTTCTCTAACA